AGCAACTGGTCTTCGGTCTTATACAACGCATCATCGTTTCCGAAAGCCGTCTCAAGACTGTTGCCGATCCTCCAGAAATTTCCGTAACTTCCGTTGCTTATGCCTTGGCCCTGTTGTGCGGCAATATCCATGAGCTGCTTGATCCGATTCGATACTGTCTTCTGCTGCGCTTTTGCAGAAGCCCAAACGCCTGCTAGTTCGTCGATACAGGTCAGTGTAGTGTTGAGTGTCTCGATCAAAGTCGGCAATGATGACAACAGCCCGGCAGAGGTCAATACATCGACCGAAAGCATGAGCGCGTACCCAGGGAAAGGCGTCGAGAACGAGAGGTCCGAGGCAACGGTGGGCGAAAGACGTTGGCGGCTAGCTGGAGCTAGGGAAAGCATCATCGACAGAAAGTTGGACGCCATGCGTAGGGCTCGTTCCAGATTTCGGCGTTGTTTTTCCATTGGTAATATGCTGACTCTGATATGGCGATTGAGCCGGATGACTGTAGCGTAATACAAAGCGTGTATAGACACGAATGTACCTGCGTATCCTGCAACCATGCTGTTGTCGAGATTTCGTGGGCTGTAACGAAGCTCCTCCGGCAACATCGCATGCCATGCTTCCAGCTTCTCATTGATTCGCGTGTAGAACGTGTCGTAATGTCGTTCATAGGCACTGTCGGGCCGACGCGCAGCTCGGCTAGTGAAGGTAAGGACCTCGCCCCATAGCGTCGATATCAGGCATAGATACGCCATGTGGCCAAGAACGGGGCCAGAAGTGGCATTTCCACTCAGGATATCTTCGTCCAGGATCGGCGCGTTACACGGTGTTGATGCATCGTACATGCTGTCCAGACATGGGAGCTGAACGAAGGCATCCTCCAAGTTGAGGACGAAAAGGGTCCCTCCGAAGAAGCCATTGTATCGCTGTTGTTGCATCAAGTCAACGGATGCTGGGACCTTGATGACGTCGTGACTTACATCCATCAGTAGTCCGGACCAAAAAGTGCGACGACAGCACTCCGCGAACATTTGACGATCAAGTCCATAGTCCCAATCGGCACTGCTATCAACCAGCTCTTTAACGCCTTCTTCAGAATTCAGCTTCAGGGCGCTGAGAGCTCGCAGACCAGCACCACAATAGTCCCAGGCTTCCTGTGACTTGCCGCGAGCAAAATAGTAGAGCGCGAGCATCAGCCGAGTCTGGCATAACTGCAGGCTGAATTTCCCGAACCGCTTTTCTGCTGCATATGACGCAACCGAAGCGAACTTCTTTCCCAGGGCTTTCTTATCTCCATCAACCGAGAACAGTGAGCCTATAGCCAGGACTGAGTATAAAAGCATCAAGTGGTCGTGGTTCTTGTCGCGGTTACCCTCTACCCATGCGAGGAAGGGTCTACGAGGAAACATGCCATAGGTCGCGCGACCCGCGTGATTGAAATAAAGATCCAGTAGGTGCATCGTCAGTCCAGGGTCAGTTTCGAAAGGATCTTGTTCCCATTGGAGGGCAAGTTGATCGGAGTAAGAGCCACGTCCGGGATCGTCAAGGCTCTGGTCATTTGCCGAACCACTCCAATCCGAATCGTACGACTGTACCGACATGTCTCTCGGGTCCGTGCTAGTATGATGGCGGTACTTTCGAGGTCTGAACGGGGTTCCGGAGTTCCAAGTGTCAACCTTTCTTGATGAGTCTCGCAGCTCTCCGGGAGCTTTGTTTCTATCTGAGTTGGCTGCGGGACTCAAGACTTCGGATGAATGGTTCTTAAATAGCGGAGCGGAGTTTGACGGTGATGTCTCGCCGGATGCATTGCTTTGATTGAGTCCTCTACCATTGGTTAGTATTTGTCATTCTATAATAGGACTATAGTCCTGTCTTGTCCGAAGTGTATAACAAGTCAATTAAGTCAATGCGTTCCACGTTCTCGAATGAGAAAAGAAGGGAACTGCAAACAGGGAGATCCACTTACCCTCTGCATACTCTTTGCGACTTGGCGCATTGCTGGCATTTTGGATACCCGGGCTCGCACTTGATCTTCTTCTCTCGACAGGTAAGGCAAGCCTGCGCGAGTCGTTTTCGAGGCTTCCCCGCCTTCGTAATGCCCCAGGAAGGGTTCACGGCCTCGCCGTCTATTATAGCCCGACAGTAGGTGCCGTCCTCGTAGACATAGCATGGGCCTTCTCCAGGTATATCGCGCTGGCCCACACAACGCGACGATCGTACCGGAGCTCTCGAGGAACCCTCCAGTCGTCTCATCCTGACAGGCCTACTTGGGTCAAACCCTAGTTCTTGCTGAACGGAGTGAGTTGTCATCGTTCCCGTCGCATCAGACATGAGCGAAGCTTGCCGATGCCCATTTACTGCCAGCTCATGCTGTGAAGGATGTGCAAAACTTTCGCGCCGTTGGAGATCTACTCGGCCGACACCAAACCCAGAGCCGGGTGGTAAGGATGTGGTGGATGTGGTGGCGTTTGTAGTCGAAAGAGGTTGACGGTGGTGGTAGGGTGTTTGAGAAGCGATAGCATTATGCTCTGGGTAGCCATGGAAGTAACCATCATATTCATGCCGTCTCTTCAGTGTCGGACTTGACGACCCGTAACGACCGCCATGGCTGTAAGGTACCGGAGCGCCGCCCGCTCTCAGCGATGGATCAGACGACTTCTTGTCCAGTAGCTCTGGTTCCAGAAGCGTGCGAAGACTTGGTAATTGCTGCGCATTGTTATGACTTCCACTGGAATCTCTGGGGCGAACGTGCTGACTGGGGGCAATGATTTCTGGTCGAGACGATGAAGCATGATGTGCTGGGTAAGGGCTGTAGGATGGCGGAGGACCTGAATGTGAGGGTATGCTGGGTGGACGACTCATGTTGAGAAGCATAGCAGGTAAGATGGGTTTTGATGTTCGGCGCTTGAGGTGGGATGATTTCCACGGTACACCCCGTTGACCGACCACATGAGGGAATATGGAACAGTAGGAGCTATGGACTGCCCAGGATGCTCAAGGGATCCAGGCACTGCTCAACGCTTGACACTGATGCAGCCACGGCATCAGCTAGTAGACAACCTAACGGGTACATAAAGGTACGTGAAGAAGTCAGGAAGGTGGCCAACGAACAGAAGCGTCTGGCCTTGACTAGGATGTCCGTTGCAGTCTAGAAAATAGACCAAAGAATCAACAGTCCGTGCAGGGCTGACGTCTGACGACTGAGCACCGCTGTTCCGGCTCCGTATGAACCGCAACCGAAGCACAAAGCAACAGTGCATGTAAGAGCGTATGTAGGGGCGACGCGGGACAAACTTACAGATGCAGGGATTAAGATATGCGGCGCGGGCGCTCCTTCTGGGCGCAACTGACACTGAGCACGCAGCGAGCACGGCTTCGGTTGCCTGAACGCAAGGCAAAGGATAATAGTAATAAGTACAATAATGCCGGGTAGCAAAAGTGGAGGGTGGGCGGACGACAGCGGGACCCCGTGCTCGGCCAGTCAAGAGGTTACCAGGAGGCCCTTGCAAGAACAGGCTTCAAGGAGGAGCGACCGCGGCCTCCAAGTAGGTCAGCGATTATTCCAGTGGCGTGCAGTGACGGACCGCCAGGGACATGGTCGTGGAGCCTTTGCTGTTTGAGACCCGAAGATGCTGGAACCGACCAGGGTATGAGCAAGCCAGCCGGAATATTGGCTGCAGATATCGAGTCAACCACCCTCTGCGGGCTAGATAGCGTGCTGCGTCAGATGCAGACTGATGCACGTTACTGCAGTCGTGGATGGCGCGTGGGCAAGTGAGCCCCAGATCGTACCAACTGGCAGCTGGCCAACCGCAGCTAATCCGCTAATGACCTGTGCAGATCATGCAGCGTGGGCTCGGAATGCAGCGAACATGTCCTTGCTATTTTGCCGCGAAACTCTGGGACCTGGCGTTAGGTTCTGGAGCGGATCCGACCAATAAGCTTCACTTAGATTGAGGCCAAGGGCTGGAAGCAGCTAAAACGTGCAGCCACCATAAACGACGCCTTTCGCTGCAGGAGAAAAGAGGGCAAATAAGCCGCCGTCAACGATGCGAACAGAAAGACAGGTGTCCCGGCGGCCGGCCCTACGGTGCCCACAAACAGTCTTTTGTCCCCGCTCGACAATGGACTGGCTGGTGCCAAATGCTGACACGAGCGATGCCGTTGTCGTCAGCTAAAAAGGCGCCGACAAATCCCAGCTAAAGCGGCACCAGAATCCGATCGGAACGAGCTCACAGCAGCCGTTGAGCGGGCGATTGAGACCATCTCGATCCTCTTACGTCCCGGATCCCCTAACGCCTCTGGCCTTGCTTGCATGAAGCCAACTTGGCCCGCTCCGAACGGCTCTAAGCTTAGCGGTCGGTTTCTTGACTGCAAGCTCCCGAGTCAATGCACATCTTCGGGCGCCTTGAGACTCCATATAATAAGGGCTTTCTCCGGATGCTCTGGTGGCTTGAAGACGAGATTTGGTCTGTCACATCATCCGGCCTAGCGATGGAAGCGCGTGCGCAGCGTGCTTGTCGTGCCGTCGAGGCTTGCTGCAACGACGATGCAGGATCGGCTGTCGTTTCCCGTTCTCGGCGATGACGCCCTCAAAACTTTCGCACCACCCGTATTTATTATGAGACAAAGGACCGAGTGATCAGGCGAGCGGCCGGGAACTGGCAAGGACTAAGGCGCAGGCACAAGCGGATCGCCGTTGAGCTGGACCGAAGCGAAGCGGCTTGCGAGTCAGTGCAGATGATGGGGTATCAGTGTATCGGGAACGAGAGTGCCAAGGTCACATGCACGCTCCGTCTGCTTACGTCGCTAGCGCTGTGCCAAGCCAGCTCCGAAGTTCTTTGTGCAGGTGCGACCGGGGCGACTCACAACAACAACACCAACGACTCACAACAACAACACCAACGCTACTGACCGTGCCGGCAACCTCTTTGTCGACCTCGTGCATGCAACCAGCCTCTAATCCAGGCCCATCCTTTCTAACATCTTCAAGTGTACAGAAGCTCTGCAGCATGGCTCTCCAGTCCAGCGACCAAGATCAGGAGCGCAAGTCCTCGCCAACTGCCACTGCACAGCCGGGCGACGGCCGCGCAAGTACCCCGGAAGTCGCGTATGTCAAGCCCTCGGATAGGGAAACTAGCTACACGTCAAGCGCCTCTGCGCCTCTCCCGTACGATGGTGGCGCGCCTCCCCTTCCCGACGAGCCTGTCCCAGACGACGAGGACGATGGCTGGGAGCCCAGGTGGGAGCCCAACGCAGGCGCCTGGTACTTCCTAAACCGCAAGACGGGTCTTTCGCAGTGGGAAAATCCACGCGTTCCGACCGCTCCAACCCACAGCCTCGGCTACGACAGGTTTGCTAACTATCATCTTCTTTTCGTGTCTTTCCCAGCCTAATACGTGCACTCTACAGAAACCCTTACGCTGGCGCCGCTGCACTGTCATCAAGCTCTGGCGCGCCGGGTACCAGCCCACCACCAAAGCGCAAGTGGGGCGGATACAACCCCAAGATCCATGGCAGCTTCGACCCCAACGCCGACTACGCCAAGGAGGCAGAGAAGGAGGAAGAGGATGCAGCGCAGGCCTCCGCTGCTGCAGCCTCCGCAGCTCGCAACGCGCTCCTCCCTAGCAATGACTATACTACAACTGCCCAGTTCAACCGTTTCAACGGCAAGCAGCAACAAGCTGGTCAAGGTCCTGAGATGCACAACGATGAAAACAAGAGTCATCGCCAGATGAATGCCTTCTTCGATGTTGATGCCGCTGCCAATAGCCATGACGGACGTAGTCTCAAGGCAGAGCGTCGCTCTCAGCACCTCAGCAAGAAGCAGCTCAAGGAGTACAACGAAAAGCGCCGAGCCGCAAAGGACGCGAAGCGCCGGGCCTGGCTTCTCGACTGAGCGTGTGGGCGGTAAGAAAGAGAGAATAGCAGTGCAGGTTCCAACGTGTACTAATGCAAGCTAGGCATGGGCAGCACCCTTGGATTGATAATTACATGTCTATCTGTCAAGGTAGGGTCTCACGTCTGTTCCGGTGCCTTTGGATGCGATAGTATAGCATGATGGGACTGTGCGTCTTCGCTCAGCGTCGTGGTATGAACCACACATGTTTTACATGAGCATGATGACTGCTCATTGTGTACTCGAGCGGATGACCAATGATGAGAGCCAGTCTACTTTCTTGACTAGGTGTCTGGATACAGGTGGCATTGCCAGCAGGAGTAAGCTTCTAATGCTAGTAGTCACAACTGGAAGCTAGCAAGGTCTCATACACTTCAGTGCATGACCCATAGATACAATGGCATTTTTGTTGCCTTGTTCATCAACCAATACTGCTCTCTTATGCTCCGCGTTTGTCTTTCTAGACCTTGCCCTGGAACCGTGGCTGTCTTGCACGGGCCTGCGCCACGTGGAGCCCGGCCTTGCCATGAACCCCATGCCATCATGTTCCTTGCAGGTCGCACGCCGTCAGTAATATATGTATATTGCGGCCAACGATGCAGCTGCTTCAGCCACCCTTCGAGACGACATCCTGGGTACTCATGTCCGCCATCTGCTTCCGAACGCCTTCCACTGTCGGTTCAGCTGCGACCTCTTGCGCCGGTGCATTGCTGTCTTGGGCGCGCTCCGCTTCTGCATCTGCATCATCCATGTTGTCGTCTGCGTCTCCGGCTTCCGGCTGGCCATTCTGTCCAATGCCATTCTCCAGCTCTTCTACGGCTCCGAGCAGCCAGTCTACCACGTCGTTCTTGTCGTTGATCTCCGCTTCGTAGACCGCATCGTGGCCCGCTCGGTTGATGATGGTGACGTCGGCGCCCGACTGTACTAGGAGTTTCACGCTTTCGAGGTGGCCGTTCAGCGCAGCCCAGTGAAGGGGAGTATTGCCTGCATCGTTGACTGCGTTTAGAAATGCCGGTTCGGGCTTCTCTGCGCTTGTCGAGAAGAGCAACTTGATAATATCTATGCTAGTCAGAATGCCTTTCGACCACGCACGACTGGAAATATTACCGTTGTGACCGTTGGCAGCAGCATAGTGCAGTGCGCTATTCTTCGAGTATGGGTCGATGGCCGCAGCGAACAGTTCCGCCTTCGATCGCTTGGTCTGTGTTGATAGTTCGGAGACGTATGAATCAAGCTCGGAAGGTTCGTTTGCGCGCGCCAGGTACAAGACCTCGTCTATCGCATCTTCGTCTAGTCCTGCCATCTCTGCTTGTCGGCCTGCGCTTTGGGGGCCTCTGTGCTTCCGAGTAAATATTTTCTGACAGGTCTGCCCAATGAGGAAAGCGGGGGCGGGGTGCCAGTAAGCCTGCTGGCGGCTAGTCCAGAACAGGCCGTAGCTTTTGAAGGACTTCTCGGGGCTGCAATCCACCGTTCGCGGCCGATGCTGCACCTGCCCACCCATCACTCTACATATGCAAGTGCGCACGCTGCCTGGCCATGCACTATACTCAAACAAGGCGTTTTACCTCCTTATCTTCCTCTCATCACCGAAATCTCAACTTGATACTGCACCCTTACTGCAGATCCTGCACTGTTAATGAGAAGGTATAGCAATCAATCTATGGAAGCGCTAGAAGGTCAATACGCATGCACGAACTATGACGTGCAGCAATATGCTCTAGCTTGTCCTTGACTGTCGGTGTCTACCGACTTACATATTCCGAGTTGCTCCTGGCTCGCTTGTGCATTTGGCAGAATCCTTCCCACACCGGCTTTGACAGACTGACACAACGACTGAGCACCAGCAGAACCGAGAAGACGTTCCTCTCTAAATTTTACTCTCGAAACCTTCTTCGATTATCATCTCCTCGACTAGTAGGAAAAGGGTTGCGAACAAAACAGCGAATGGCTATCGCATGCATTCGGGTGTATGATGCTACCTCTGAAGATCATTGGCTTTTTGTTGCAGCATCCAACTCACGATTCGGTACTTATTTGATACAGCTGAGCGTTCGGACGTGTGGCTGTGTCACAATGGGGACGGGAAGCTCCCACGCCACATTGAAATTACCCGGTTGCCGTCTTGTGTCGGAGCGGTAAACTGGGTTCATATGAGCCTACTTTGGTTATTCTACTTTGTTGAGAAGCAAGACAAGCTGAAGCAGACCTAGCACGCAAACGGAGTTCCCGGCTTCGCTTCTTCCCTACATGGTCTCATTCGTCTGCGGCCTGCAGAAAGAAACGTCTACCTATGCGGCGTACGTCATGAGAGTGTCGGCTCGCCTACACCTGCCACTTAGTAGTCAGCTTCCCAAGGCAGGTCGGCTCGACTGTTTGAGGGTGTTCCCACTCAAACCTTCATCCTTCCGCTAACCCTTGCCCAAGCATAGATTGCGCAAGGTCCGTTGTGTACCCTGAACCTGGTCTTCCCGCGCAAATCCAAGATCCCAACAGGCTTGGGCAAGCAAGTACCTCGGAGACTGCACTACGCGTCTTGCCGAGGCCGTTTCAGAGCTTCTAATCGGATTCCCACCAATCGCACTCGACAGAATCGGTCCGATAGCGAACGTCTGATCAGAAATCTCCCAATGTTCAATCTAGAGCGGAAGGATTGTACCACTATTAGGTCGCTCCTTAGATCAAGGCCTGGACATGTGAAAGGAGAGATTGTCACTGGGATCGGCGCGGACCTTAATATCTACCTAGATGAAGCTGGAACATTGTCCGTTCGGATCAGAGCCGAACCTAGTCATGTAAGATTACAACCACTCAGGCCAAGCTGATATGAATAGGCGTTTAACTTCAGAGGCACTCCGCAATTGGTACTCCGCATCGGCTTCTTAACGCCCGCTCGTTCGCTTCAGTTGTTGAAAATAATCAGGCGTATCGCTTGCCGAAAGCAGACATCGCCCGAGAAGTCACCCTAGTGCACAGCGTCGCCGCGATCCTGGATCGGCAACGTCCATCAAGGCATGCGGCGCCGTGCGATACACATACAGTAAACTGGAACAGAATAGATCTTCAGAGAGGTAGCCATATTCGCATTCATTGCCTGATATGGAGCCTCCTGCGTGGTCACATAAGAAACCCGAAATGTTCACATCGAATTACCTATTTTCCACCAAGATGACAACAATCGAGTACATTGCAGAGAATTTGCATGCGGCAGCAGCCGATCGAGCAATCTCCAGAGCGGCACCATAGATACACCCGCACTGCTTTCCAATTCACGCCGCTTTAAGCCACAAGTGCTATTGGTCTTTCGTGGACGTTCTCAAAAGTTACTTTACTTTTTAGCCTTCCCACGCCGCACACTAAATTACCCCGCGGACGTGAAAGTCGTAGCGATGCCTGCGCTAAGGATTGTGCAAGGGGGAGAGGCGGCATTTGGACGCCACTACATCGATAGTAATTCCTGCATCTGGTCTGGTGCAGCCAATGTACCGATGCTCGACTAACGGAAGCCGCGTATCACCTTTCGGAGGTGTGGGTATCGCAACATTAGCTCTCGGCTCACATTACCCTGCTGCGCCGCGTGGCTGCATCAATACCAACACTCCAAGCCGTTTGTCGACAAGATTCGAGGAGCTGTAAGGATTCCTTCGACGCCTCCAGCTTCCAAATCCCTCTTGTGTGGCCAACGTAAAGGTCAGCAGCGCATTTTATCTTATGCAAGACATCGTGTCATACATGGGTGAAGTATGCTACATCTCCACTGAGGCTCGGTAAGCCCATAACGTCTACGCAGATGTCGATCGGTGTGATAGGCCGGCTTCGGGTGCCGCTAGCTGCTCAAATTGTTGAGAAGGACAACGTACCATTCCAGAACATCCACTTCAGGCTTTCAGAGAATTCACTCACGGGGTCCATGTCTTCAACGCTTAGGTCTGAGGGGTTTTCTTGACATAGATCCTGCAATATCTCTTCCTCGGATAGGGTCACGCTAGCTCCCTTGCCGGCTAGCCAATGAGCTAGCCACGGCATGCTATCCGAAGGCAAGACCCTTCCACTGCGGCTGTCACTACCGTCATTGCCAGCCAGACGGGAGTTACTCCTACCGCCTAACTTACCGATAAGGCCCCCTCTCTTATTCAACATGACTCGACTATCGTGGGCTCTGTTCTTCCGATCGCTTAACAAATCGCATCTTTGAAGAGGAGTCATGATAGCTCCACAACAAAGGCACTTTCATTCGGTTTAACGCTAATTCTAAACGGCGGTGCGCCCTGATGAGCGCTGATCTGGCGGGCCGGCATAGAAGCTTTCGCATCATCTCAACAGCGGGACATGGATAGACAGGGACCTCAAGCGCTCTTCGCGATCCTTCGCTTGCGGAAGAGAGCGCTTGCACCCACGGGTTTTTGCTCAAACGAAAGATGGACATGCACACTGCTTGCTCTTCACATGCCAATACTGTCGTGTGTCTAGCAAGGGGGCGTCAACATGCTTTAGCAGGACAGCTACACTTGTCTTAGACTTGATTGCAGTGCCTTAGCGGACGGAACGGGTGACATCCATCAACGGGGCATCCGGTTCAGGTTTGTTGCTCCATATCAGCATGCCTGTCTCCCTGCTTTCATTACCATGGCGGCCCATCACTTGCTCTGTTGCGTATTGGGTTTGATGGCAACCGTGGCCGCTTCTGACTACGGTCAAACACAGAAGCCAGTAACAGACTGACGTGCGACATTCTCTCACCAGGGCAGTCACGCGGATCGTGACACTGGAACCGTAGACATAGCGGGAAGAGGGGCATGTCTTCACAGTAAAGCTCTGTGCACAAGCTCCCGAGCTCCTGGGCTCATTGAGTGATCTTACGTACAAACAGCCGTGCTTGCGCTGCCCACTACGTAGCATGCGAGAAGATCTTTCGGGCCGTGAACAAATTTGCATGGCGATTATCATGACAGCAACTGCTACGTATGCCTTGCAGTCGTTCCGTTCGATAGCATGCATCAACA